TGCGACTTTTCTTGCTACCGGTCTCGCTCTTCTCCCTGATATTATCCCCTTGTAAGCGCTGCTATTCGCGGATGCCATTGTAGACGAGAATGAAAATAAGAGGGAAGAGGAGGATCTCTTATAGGTGGATATACGTGCGAGCATCCGGCAGATCTTCAAATATGTCCAATTAGCCCGGACTGACATAATAAGTAGATAAACAACTGGAGAACCTCTCACGCGGTGAGATCAGAGACTCGCGCTTTTTCGGATCCCTGCCATGCGTCTGGATTGCCAGCGATAGCACTTTACCGAACGATTTTAGTCAAGATCGTTTGACTTTTTCGCGATGACGCGTTCAAACAGAGAATCAAAAAGAAAGACAGGGAGAGAGAGTGAAAGAGAGAGAGAGAGAGAGAGAAAGAAAAGGAAAGATGATCGTCGGGCTTTAAAAGGGGATGCTGTGCGACGGTCCATCGTGGGAAGAATTTCCGGCTAACTTCTTGACCGATCATCATCATCATCATCATCATCGTCTTTGTCTTTGTCGTCTACTCGCGATAGTTCGACCATTTTCTTTTTTTTTCTTTACCAATCACCAAATCAAGATTTTTATTCCGAAAACTTTATATGATATTTTAATATACTACTGATCGTTATATATCTTTCATTTCAATTTAGCTTAACTTTATTTCAATATTAATTGATTCGTACAATAGGACAGGAGCAGTAATAATTTTTAGAAAGGGGAAGGGAACAATCTCGGCTGAGACAATCGTCGTCGCGTAGAACAGAGAAAAGAAAAAAGAAAAAATTAGTGAGAGAGAAAAAGAGAGAAGAACCATGGAATCGAGTTAACGTTGGTAATACGCGAATCTCTCGTCGATCCGCGTCCCGTCGCGTTTCGATGGTCCTCACGAGAGGAGAATATTAATGCTTTCCACTCCTGTCCATTACGAAAGTCCCCTTTTCTCTACTCAACTCGACTCGACTCGACTCAAACTCGACTCGCGTCACCCTGCGTTCTAATACGACGAACGTAGATTTAATAATGGTATGGTTAGAGGATTTCGAGTTAACGCGTTGCAATTTTTCGTGAGAGTCCAAAAGGATGGTGAGAAAAAGAGAGTGGGACGGGGGGAGGGGGTGGTAGGGGAGAAATGGAGAAGACGCTATTCTCTTTGGGAAGAAGAAGAGGACGAGGAGAGGAGGGTACGCACAGGGGGCTTCCGCTCGAACGAACGCGTACGTGCGTAGCACGTATGAACAGCCACGGGATTCTACACACCCCCCGCGAGAAATCATCCCTTCGAGCACGTAATCTATTTGTCGGACGACCGCAACGCCTGCAATTTTATTCCAACCAAGAGAGATACACTTATAATAATATCATTATTATCGAGATAAATTAATTCGACGTTAACGAAAATAAAAAATTAATAACCACCAGATGATACGATACACTTTGTTGATAGCTATAAATAAAGTATTTTCAAGGATATACACTTTAAATCTTAATCACAGGGTTTTAAAATCATTCAAAATTTATCGATTATCTTATAATTATTCACCTTCGTCTCTTTCTTAATTACATCAATGGTTGTTTTAAGTCTTGACAAGGATTACAATTCAATTAAAATCGTGGAATACGTGTAATCGAGTAAAAGTTAGGAAAAAAAGAAGAAGAAGAAGATGAAAAGTAACTTAAAAAGATAAAAATAAAAATGAGAATAGAAGAAGCTATCATCTAAGAGGAGTCGCAGTGGCAGTCCGTTCGTTCCCATCGGTTCGCGGAATAACGAGCTATAAAAGGCGTCGCTTTTACTGCTTCCAGGACCGAAAACGCATTAAAGACGGCCCCGACCATCCGGCCATCGACGAAGAAAGAAAGAAAGAAAGATAGACAGAGAGAAAAAGAGAGAGAGAGAGAGAGAGAGAGAGAACTCGCTGTGGTCGATGCGTTTGCCGAACGATGTATATAGAAAAGGGTGCAACACGAGCCACGGCTAGCCTGTTTATACGTACAACTCGAGGCCCAAAGAATTTGCATTCTAATTATTGCAAGATCCAACGAGAATATCCTCCTGGTTCTCCTCTTCCTCTTCCTCCTCCTCTTCCTCCTCCTCATCTTCCTTCTTCTTATTCATCTTGTCATTATAAGTTTTATCTTCTCTATCTTCTAACCAAAAATTACAACGATTGATATTCTTTAATGATTGTACACATCGGAATAAGAAATAAAATATATATTTAAATTACCGAAGAGAGAGATTAGAAAATTGAAGAATCGATTGTGATCATAAATTATTTCACAAATAGAGAATATAAAAAAAACACCTATGGTTATCACCCAGTAATCTAATTAACGAGTTCTAAAAGATCGTTCGCCCGGTAATGAAAATAATTCTTTTATCTTTATAGCAAACGTTATGGCTTAAACGTTGAATATGAAAATAATATGTATCGTAAAGCAACCGAGTAAAGTTTATTTTCTTCTTCCTGTTGCTTCGAATAGCCAGGCGTTAATTTGTACGAAGTCACAATGTAATCATTGAAAATTATTGAGACCGCGATCGTTCGCCATTTGCATTCTAATTATCGAGTTAAACGAGCTCGCTCGTAACGCGTTTCTTTCCTAGCCCCGAGGGTAAGTCGCCGTCAAAGTGTCGCTCGAGACTGTGTTCATGGGAAAGATCGTAAAAGAAACGATCGAAGTGACACCCTCTTCGAGGAGGAGGATGTTTATCTTATCTAAGGTGGTCCTTTCAAAAAATCCTTTCCTTTACGTTTACTTTTATCCATGTAAATGCAAATTCTTTTTTTATTTTTCTTTTTATAGATATAATTATGACTTTTTTGGTTTCTCTTATGTTTTCTCTTTACACGATTCTATTTTTATTATGTATTAAATATTAAAAATACAAATTAACATTTTTTTGAGGGAAAAATGAATGATACATATACATTGAAAATATATATAATACAAATTAAATATAAGTATAAGAAAGGAGAGGAAGAAAAGGAGGAAAAGAAGGTGATTCCTTGGAGTTCTAGGAGAGTTCTGACTATAAACGATACTCGCGTTCGAAATAGAAAAAGTACAGTAGGTAAATGAACTTAATAAAATACATTCGAAATAATATGACAAAATTTATTAACTACACGGTTAGAGTTAATACGCTTATTTATTTATGTGTTTTATCTCAATTTGTTTCAGCATAGATTTTAATCGATTCCGGTATTGGAAATAACTAACTACCTTGGCCTAACTCATTACGTTCCATAGATTTCCTACAGATTAAAGATTAAAGATTCGCAAAAATGACGAAGCAGCCTCCCACGCGAAAATACCCGTTGCGTCGATTTAATTCCACGTTTCGTATCCTGCGAGATTAGCCCCAGCAGGGAGTACTCGCAACATTCGCCTCGTGCACCGGTGCAAAGTAATATAATACATATACATACACATATATATATAAATATATATGTATATATATATACATGCATATTTATACGGGCGATCTATACGGGTCTCCTACCGTTTATATACCTACTAATCGCATCGTTAACGATTTCACGTAGGCTTCGTTGGAATCCATTGCGAATAAACGACATTTTATCACTCGAATATTGTTATCGTTTACATCTTTCATTCCTACCATATTTATTATGATTATTTATTAAAACTTTCTTTTAGAAAAATAAATATTGTGTCACGAATTAAAACAAAAATCATATCCATTCGAATGTAACTGCGAATAAACGAAACGTTTTATATCACGGATTCGTTATCGTTACCATATTTCATTTCTATATACACTTCACTTATAATTATTATTATATAAAAAGAAAGAAAAAAAAAAGAAATTCGTCTCGTCAAAAATCAGAATTCATTCGTATGAGACTAACAGCACGGTCTGGAGATCTTCCTCGCGATTTAATTAACCCGATTAAAGTGAAGCTTGTAATACGTAAGAGGGAAGAAACGCAAGTAAGTAGAACTTGCGTCTTCTAGAAGAGCAAAATCTCAGCATACGCAAGCGAACTCGTTCGAGTGAACAACGTCGGCCTTTGTCGTTAAAATAGTTAAGAGAGAGAGAGCGTGCAAAAGCAAGGAAGAAACAATTCAATGCTTGGCGAACCACTATAACTGACTCTGCTATAATTACCAAACGATTATACGATTATCTCTCTCTTTCTTTCGCTACGTCGCAGATTACCGGCTTTTCAGATCTTAGATAAGTTAAAAGAAACTATTAACTTTGCAAAACTAGAAATCTCGTAGTAAGATCGATCCTTTACAACGAAAAGTATCGACAAGCAAAGATTTTAATCGCGAGTCGAACAATTTACCTACTTACATTTATTATTACAGGCCTTTTTTTTATAATGTCTAATCAAAATATGTATACAATTAAAAGAAAATACGAAATAATATATATATGTAGGATTCTTGAAAAAAATTGGACTATTGGACTGACTGGACCGGATCTTCCGCTTTTCGGGCGACTGCTTTTAATCCACTGAGCTATCCAGGGCAATCGGATATTAATGAAAAAAAACAATACAAGAGTGTTATTAATTTTTCCTTGGAATAAAATTAATCGGGAGAACCACTGGGAAGTATGTCTATACTCTACGAAGGCGTGTGTATGTACTCTCGCACCCGGGAGAAAATATCGTTGATCTGTTATGCGCGCGTGCGCCCGCACATATATATAACATGCACGCGAACGTTCGGACATTTGAGCGTGTCGATTAAATCGTTTCTTCGTCCAACGAGTTTTCTTCGAGCGAATGAACGAACGAACGAAAGAACAAACTAACATAAGCGAATACTTCGCGAGAGGACAAGTGTAACGAACCGCACCGTTAATTACGATCATTAACGTACATACTGTTGTTCTACGTTTAACAGATTTCCTTGACGCTCCTAACGCACGTTGAAAGAGAATAGGACTTACCCCAATAGACGGATGTTCAATAAGAAAAAATCTTACTCTAAAGTTTCTTCCACTTACCCATGGCGTCTGTAACAGAAAAAAAGAAAACAAATATTAATTGTTATGTTTTATTACAACAAAAATTGCATATATTTTGTAATGTACAGTTTGTCGAACGAAATGGCAGACGATTGGTTTGATTAATTTCATTGTAATATATGAATCATATTTGTTTCATTTTAGGCACCAAAATACGAAGAAACTTTTTCCCTTCCCAACTGAATATTACATATTTCGTTGATGATTTATTTATAAATGAATAAGCTTTCGTTTGTAATGCAATTAAGTGTCCTGTCGTAGCGTCATTAAAGAGACATCTCGCATTTTTCTTCGTATCCATCGAGTTTGAAAAAAACATCCCACAATGACTTTATGTCAGGTTTAAAAAGTACGGAAGGAACGCGGGATTCCCCGCTAATTGCCACTCGGCGCTAAAGAGGTGGACGGTTTTGTACATTTTTTTCTTTTTTCTCATTCTCTGTTTTTTTTTTTGCAATTTATTTTACGTTCCCTCAGCTGGAAGGAGAAAATATATAATTTTAAAAAGCAAGGATTCTTAGTGTTCCTACTCATTTCTATTTCATTATAGTTTCAATGATTATTCTAATCCTTTTTCTTGAATAAAATATAAAAGAAAAAAAAGAAATAAATACTTGTGAAAGGTTAGTATTTAACGGACGAACGGAATCCCGATCGGTTTGCCAGTTGGTGACACGTTGCTTTTATATAATCTGAAAGCTTAAATGGTCACTCATAATTTCTCGAGATAATCTTTGCGTAGGCAAGACACGCGGACAAGCCGAGTGTCCTTCTCTCTATCTCTTATCTTATATACCTTCGTTTATCTCCATTATTTGTAGGCGCGACCAAGATAATATATCGAAATAGAGAAAAAGAGAGAGGAGATATAACCCGATCGACATAAAAAGTCCTTTTATTTGACACCCCAATACTTGTTAAGAAATTTGTGTTGTGTCGGGAAACGACGATGACGCCAAGATTATTTCCATATAAATATTAAAGAAAATTAATAGAAATATATCAATCGGGAGATATATATTATTGAATATTAATTAAATAATATCGTCATGTGATGGTTAAAATCGATTAACGAATTTAATTATTATTTATTGCAATAGCTCGTAGAGGAGAAGGCTTGAAAAAATGTTTCAATCAAAAAGGAAGAAAAGTAGAGAAGAATAAAAAAAAGAAGTATTAAATATACGATGACGCGGCGTCTTCTTCTCTTCGTCTTATGATTAAATTAACTACTCGAACCACTTCGATTCTCATATCGATTCCATTTAAAGGAGATGCGAGAGGAGAGAAGTGGAAGATAAGTAGGGTAGGAGGAGGAGAGAGGTAAGGGGGGGGGGGGTAAAGCAAAAGCTAACTGTCGAGATTTTTCGCACGTTCCCATCTTCTTCCACGGCTCGTTGCTTCCGAGTCTACTTTCATTGGATGTACAAGCTGACTGACCCATTAGCGCCTTTCCTGCCGATCGACACGGCAAATCGATCGATAAAAGCGCCACCGAGAATGCTTCCTGTCTATTACAACTCAAGAAGAAACAAAACAAGAACAAGTTACGTTCTTTTTCTGATTATTTTATTAGATTTGTTCTAATTTATACCTCCCCTCGTACGGACTTTATACGAATACCTAAACATTTTGTTGTTACCCTATACAATATCATAATTCACTTTCGTTCTATTCAATCTAATACCACCTGTTTGAACGAAACGATAATCGAATTGGAAATAAGTTAAATGTAAATTGCATTAGATGATCGTACGTTAGATCATACTTATCTTTACGAGTAATCTCTAACAAATTATTTCAAATATTACATTTAACTATCTATATTTGTAAATTATTTATATATTAAAATTACGAGGACACGTTCATAGGACTTTCAGAGAGAAAGAGAGAAAGAAAGGAAGAAAGAGAAAGGAGTTACAAGTCCAGTTGGAATATTCTAGATGGTTTGGAACGATCTGGCCTTAATTTGTAGCACGTTCTTGCTATCGAGGGTGACGAGGAGGTGAGGAGGTTCCCGAGAGGACGAGAAGACGAAGGAGAAGAGTTGAATCGTTTCGTTGGCGTTGCTCTGATGTTGTTTCTGCTGCTACTGGTTAGTTAGCGCGACTCTAACTGCACACTATTTCTCTTTCTCTCATTCTTTCTTTTTCCATCCTCCTCCTCCTCTTCTTCTTCTTCTTCTTCTTGCTACTCTCGATTTTTGCCACTAAAACATCGTCCCTAATTAATCTCCTCGGCTGATGCTGGGTGCTGTTGCTACTGTCGACGAAATAAGAAACCTCTTCGTTGACTCCGTTGCTAATACCGCGAGGAAACGAACGACAATGGGATTCTGGAGAGTCCTTGTATTAGAAGGAAATAAATAAAAAGGAATATAAGAAGGAAGAGGATAGGGGCAGGGGGGCAGGATAAAAGACTCGTGGAATCCGTCGAATTCGACCGCGTGACGAGATCGAGAAAAAGTTTGCTCCGGCGTTTAACACCGGCCCGAAAGAAGGAGGCACTGAAAAAGGAATGAAAAATAAGGACGATAGAACGAAAAGGATGAGAAGAGGACGAGACGATGAAAGACGACGACCACTCGCATGAGGACTATCCTTCCTAATGGGAATTTGCGAGACGTTAATACGGAAAGGAGTTCCTGTTAACGTCTCACTCGAATATCTACCGAGTCTTCTGTTTATCTCTCTCTTTCTAGAAACTCTAGAAACTGGCCAGGTGAACCTTAGATTAAACCTTATGGCCTCGGGTTAGTTACGATTATCGAGATAATCGACTCGACTTTAAGTCGCGCCGTGGATTTACGAACCAACTGTCCAGTTTCTTTCTTACAAGCTCAAGTGCTTTATTATTCTCCGAGAACAAGCACGTCAAACTTGCTATTAGAGAACGAAAGAAAGATAGAGATAACCTTTCTTATTCTTCATTCGGACCCTTTGGCGAGGATGATGATGATGATGATGATGATGATGATGATTAGAATTTAAGATCTTAGAATGAAATTTTTGTATGAATATTTTTTTTGAAAACAAATTATAAGATTATACAGTTTTTCTAAATAAATTTTCAGTACATAACTTTTTGTCAATTACTTTACGTTGTTATTAAAAAATAAAAGTAATGAAACATCGTTTAACAAAGTAATAGTATATCCCTGAATATTTTCAATAAATCTAGAACGAGAAAGTCTTGATAACGAGTTCTAATCAAAGACTCTCAGAAGAAAACATTGTAACACGTGGGTGGCGATGATGGCCAGGAAGAACTACAGAAGATTCTAATACGTGTAATTAATGCGATCTAGGTATCGTGTTCCATGGACCATGACAAGTGACAAGGACTGGATAAATAGCAAAAAAAAAGAACGAGTTTCCATTCTGGTTGCTTCGTTACTATTCGAGTTTCTATTGGTCGTTAGATTTTTCCAATTTACACGAACACGATGGAATCATTTGTCTACGTTCTCAAGCAAAAGTAATTAATTAAAATAAATGTTAATCTTAATTATTGTTCGTTTTGTTTGCTAAGAAAAAAAATCTTTTTCGAAAAGTACGTTAACCCTTAGGAAAGGATAACTCGAAACGATGAGAAAAAGATAAAAGTAGAGTTGTAAAGGATGAGTCCGAATCTCGAGAGAAATTGGGTCAACTTTTTTCGTTGTTCGACCATATAGAGAATCTAAAGATAGACAGACAGACAGACAGACAGACAGAGAAGGAGAGATAGAGAAAGAGAGAGAGAGAAATGATTGCGGGTGTCGATGAGTAGCAGTTAATTGGTGTTCTATGAATTTGACGATGATTACCGCGAAACGAAGTGGTCCCAGACGACGATGAACTTTTTCATTTCTTCTTTTCGGTAGATGAAAGAGAAAGAGAGAGAGAGAGGGAGAGAGAAAGAGGACGAGGACGGGATTGGAAGACTACCGGCAGACTGTCTCCGCTCACAACGTGGAATTTTAATTATAAATTGGTTGATTAACTCAATAGCGTTTTTGCTCGCGGCGACAGTGTCCCCGGGGCGACTAACACGACTGAAACTTTATGTCCGTGCGAGACGCGACTAAGATACACGCCGATGCGCCGACCAGGGGTTCTCGTTTTTCTAATTTTCATCCTTTGACAAACTCCTATAACCTATCATAAGACTAAAACATTAATAAACAATTATATCAAATCTAAAGAACCTGAAATATGATCTCTTCTTTCATCCACGTTCCTTCTGTATACAAAAAAACGGAGGAAGTATTCCTAATTGGTTACAAGACCTATTATTATTATTATTATTATTATAAGTAATATAAAATATATTCAATTAAATGTACTTAATAGTTAGGGATATTTGAATAATAACAATTTATGCATATATATATGTATTGGAAAGTTTTCGAGCACCGTCATAAGAACAAATTATATATTTCATGATAACTCGAATGGGAAATAAGTGTTTCCCGTTATATGTTATTCCATTGGTAAATGATTGATATTGTTTGATGATTCTGTGTTGGCAAATGCGAACGGAGTTGAGAACCCACGACGATCCGTGGATACCTACGAGTTCGAGGTCGTGCAGGCATGAGAACACAATGGCCGCGAATGGACGCGGACTCGTCCTCTCCGCATCATCGGCACGCACAGTCCACGCGGGAATGCGTTTTATTTCATATTAAATAAAATATTCGACGCGGGGACAAAAGAGAGAGAGAGAAACAGAAACAGAAACATAAAGAAAGAGAAAAAGAAATTACAGTTGACTCGGTCGTGGACCCATCATTTCTTCGAATCAAACTCCCGAACCGAATCTCCTTATATATTTTCTTGTATTTATTTATCATAAATTAATAATTAAATATATTATTAATACACATATTATAAATTGTTCAATCCCATCTCGTTTGCACCAAAGAGGGGAAAAAAAAAGAAAAAGAAATTACAATTGGACAGGTATCGTTCCTATTCGTCACTAAGGACTCCCGAAATACGTAA